GTAGGTATATCGTATATATAGGTATATACTATATTCAACTACTTTTAGGTGCGTATACCCATAAATTTATTTACCAATACACCACTGGTTGTAGGTATACTGTATATAGTATACCAGATACCTGTTAAAGCACTTACCTATTCTACTTAAAAGTTTAGCGAAAAAAGTCTAGTACAAATCATACAATAAAAATTTAAAAAAATTACATAAATTAAGTCAGTTATGGCATTACTTATCTATTAAATAAAAAATATATCTTTAGCCTATAACCTTGACCGTGTGCACGTGCCTAATATTGTTTCCAACTTTTGTTAAAAACTCTTCAACTCAGAGTTTTTAATGCGTTCGCATAACGTTTGGAGCCTCATATTTTTTTTCCCGTGCTACTTAGTACAATATTTGCCCTATCCAGGGGCGAACCTAGGAAAAAATTTCTGGGGGAGGGGGTTGAAAAAATTTATAGTAGGTATTCATAAATATCATATTATTCAGATAGTTTATTTTTTGTACCTGCTATATTTTTTTTTTTTTTGGGGGGGGGGGGGGGTATTTTCGTTGATAAAATACATGGTATCGACCAGGGGGGTCACTAAATAGGTATCGAGGTGTAGATTAATGGAAAAGTATTATAATTAAGGTAGTAACTAAAATATAAAATATAATTTTCAAATTGTTATATTACGTAGAATAATTGGAATCAATAAAATACGATTGGGGAATATCGTCATATCCACCACCAAACGTCCAAACTATATTATTATAATATGTATAGGGCCCTCTAACTATGATATATTATAATATATATAAATATAAATGTATAAATAAATATAATCAATGATAGGTATTATGTACACTCCAATACGCCATAGATACATTGTTTAGATACTGATACACCATTAAAATTTCAGGCGGGGCTAACATTTTTAACATCAATGTGAGCGAGGGAGCTTTGATCCCATACATCTAATTAACTGTATTTTTAGAAGGGGGCTAATGGGATGTTTGGGGGGAGGGGCTCCCCTTACCTCTCCTGTGACAACGTACACATACGAATTCAAAACTTAACCCTGAAGAGTGAAGAAACACCCTACAGTTAACGAGTTGACGGGAGTATTTTATAAAAATTAGATTAGTAGATATAGCTCATATAGTAGGTAGGTTGGTAGGTATACCTGACCAGTGGCGTGTAACATAGGCCATAGGGTCCAAGTGTTGCTCGGGAAATACATTAAATATGGGTGGGTATAGTGATAGATGAAAAAATAGGTAATTTTATAGGTCGGTACGACAGTATTATAATAAGGGGTAGGTCTATCCTAAAATTATTTGACCTACACCAATTTTTTTTATGATACACGCCACTGTACCTGACGGTTTAATACTTATTACTTATAGTTTAATATTATATAAGAGCATTGATTTTATAAATTATAATACATTATAAAATATTATACAATTTTAAATTAATTGCTTTTATACTGAAGTATCTCTATATCGTGAATTTTGGACCGCGATTTGTTTAGTTTATTATTTTTTTAATTATATAATTATATGATTACTATTAAAATTATTAAGTATAATATTATATATTATAATTATACAAAATAATATGCATAAAACGCGCGTGTGAAAACTTTTCATACTTACACTGCCTAGCAGGTACCTGCCACTCACTAACACGACGTCACGACCTATCCCTAATCAAGGCACCACATTATATTACAACATAGGTCATAGACCTAAATATATTATACCAATGTCCGATATATAGGTAAGCAGGTCAATATGGAATATATGAATATATTATACTATAATATTATAATATTGAGCGTTGATGCGATATTGCCGCGATTGAGTAATACAGTAATAGCAATGAATATCTTAACGTCTAGATGTTGTTTGAAGACGAATGCGAAGAATATTCTTTGTACAGCGAAGACGAGCGCTCAGAATTCATGTTTCGGCTGTTGCAGCATTTCTCTACAGGTGGCCAATGGTGTCAAGATGACGTAGTTATCGAACCGTATTTGAATGCAATGAAATACGTTTACAAAGATCTACTCGCGTGAGGAAATCATACTATATTATTAAAAATATTATGATAATAATAACAATTTATTTCTATCATAAATTTGAATTGATTCAGGTTTTGCTTGTTTCAGTGTCGAAAAAATTCCTGGCTCCGGAATACAAGTCTCGTCCAAGGTGTACAAAGTCGTCGCTTTCGATTCTAACGACACAGTTTTATTTCCAAAAGAATGCAGAAATCTCATACCTTATAGTTTCGCTTATTTAGCAGTAAATCCTAAGACTCGGACTGTCGCATTATTTTTTCATAATGTCGGTGACACAATTTATACTTGATAAAATATATTCTTTACTTATTTGTTGTTCACTATTGTTTATTTAATTTTGTTTTTTTTAAGACCTCATGCTTGGGGTGTAAAGAGCTAAAATTACATAAATTCACATTTTTACTGATTATTTTGTCATTAAATTATGATTTGTGTTATACTTGAAATTCGTTGGTCCAAACTGGTGTAAAATTATCCCCATATCCCCATGTGGGATAATGAACAATGTACAGCACATGGTGCAAACAGTGGTGTACGCAGGGGTAGGGTTCTAGGGTTCTGACCCCCCCTGAAATTTCTTTCGTTGACAAAAAAATAAAACCATTTAAATACACAAAGTCGATCAATTATTGGTCATTTTTAATAGATATAATATAAATTGTTAAATATGACAAAGACGTCGATAATCATAGTTTCAGTTTTTTGGCTGGTTTAGAACATTGCTAAACATCTGTCATAACCGTCGTCGTATAGTGTATCATCATGTATCACCGTCCATCGATAATTACCACATACTACGACCCGAAGAGGCTCTATAGATGACCATAGGTGTCAAGATTGAACACTCGAGTGTTCTTAATGTAGACTACATTTGAGACTAATTATAATTTGTTATAACCAATTACATAAAAACTATTTAGAAAAAAATAATGTAAATTATTTACTCAGATGAAACCCTAACCGAACTAAAATCCTGCGTACGCTACTGGGTGCAAACATCCCAGTTTTATTTCACTCAGGTTTGAGCGAGAGAATTTCTAGATGGTTTATAATTGGTATACAATAAACTATAAAGGAATATTCACCACTTAACTATTACAATAAGTAGAAATTTAATTTGAGTTGTGAGCTGTAATTTGTATTATTATTTATTTGTAAGTACTGAAGAGACCTTTTCTGTTTATTCACTACCACCACTTTTTTCGGTTTTTCAAATTTACAGTGATTACGCGTGTATCGGCACTCGGCGCCGTCGCTCCGCTCCGCAAATTGAAAATATCCCACTACTTGCTATGCAACACCACCACAAGTTGGGCTCAGGTTAACCACCGTATATCCATTCTTAATAACTACTTTCATTTTACAACGACTATTCAATTTAAATAGTGGTATACGTATAACACGTATATAATAGGTATTAAGAGTGGATATACGATGGTTACCCTGTGACCAACTTGAGGTGGAGTTGCATAACAAGTCGGGGGATATTTTAAATTTTCGGAGCGGAGCGACTTCGCAGAGGAGTGCAGCGACGAGTGCCGATACACGCGTTATCACTGCAACTTTGAACTTCCATAACTTTACTAATACCTACCATTGAGAGTTCTTGGAGCAAAATAAAATCTCGAAATAAAAAACAGTGGGGTACCTACCAACCAATGCTGAATAGCTACTAAAAATAGTGGTAGTGAATTAACAGAAAAGGTCCTAATGAAGTAATAAAGTGGGGTCATGATAAAGTGGGTTCATGATAATTAATTAGATCCATTAAGGGGTTGACTATTAACAATTATGTTGTCATTACCCATGAAAGCAATTTCCTGATTATATTAACTAATGATCACAATAAGGCATTAAGTGGTACCCACTACACAGTACACACTATGTCAAGAAATACCAATAATTATAATCTAAACATACAACTGTAAAAAATCAAATTACAATTTTGTTTTGAAGAATATACATTTATTTTTATTCTTAGGAAATGGTTAAATTAACATATTATTTATAAAGTATCTAATAAGTATCTACCCTTTAAGTCTAAAATTGAATAAACCAATATTTTATTTTTATTCTCTTTTTTAGCAAATGTATAATAATATATATTAATGATATTAATTATAAAATGCATTAAAGTGCTTAAAATACTTTTATAAGCTATCTTCATTAACTACAATATTATCATAATACATAAATACAAATCTTTGATATAAAGTTAAAGATATTTCTAAAACTAATATAAAAAAAAATAAAATATACCTACCATCAAATAAATGTATTACATAGGACATTTGTGGATGTATTAAATTAACAAATTGTATTCAATAAATTGAATAACGGTTAAAAAAAAAGAGACAATTATTATTAATCTAAACATACCAATTAAATCTCAAACAAAGCTAATATAGTAATATACATATACTATATACATTATAATATAGTTTTCTTTTTAATACATAACTCTTAGGATTTGTTTTAGTTATATAATTATGAATTTATTGGTTTTGATTGATTTATTACAATGCAAATATGTGCTTTAAATTAATTTTTTTTTACTTTGAAAAGAAGAAATATCCAGAAAATATTTTTATTTCTAATTCTTGAAAGTTTTTTTTTTTTATATACATTTTGAGTTGAATAATATAAGATTCATACACAACAAATTTGATGTTAATAATTTCTAAATAAACAAAAAAAATAAAACAACATAATATACAACATGTATAAAAAATTCAACTAGTTTTTATAGAGTAATAGTTCAATTATTTAAAAATAATATTAAGTGTCCTGATAAAACGAATAAAAATAAAATATTTGCTGTATAAATTAGAAACCATGTAGTTATACAATCTTATTACATACATTTTAAAACATTTTTAAATTTCCTTTTGTGCTTACTTTGATTTGAAGTACTGAAATATAGAACTAATTGTGTCTTAATTGTGGTAGATGATGTTGTTGCTCTTCGCTGTCCACCAAATAAGTGAGAAAGGCAGTGAATAAAAAAATTGCAGTTAATATTCCCAGTGTACCCGTAGATGTATAAGAGAACAATGTGTAGAACTGGATTCGGGCATACCAAAGTAATGATATTATTATTGTGATTAAAGCAGATAACAATGTTGCCAAGTTCCATTCACGTTGAACTGGACCACCAGGTTGACGCTGACCATGACGTATCGTGTTTGGTAGTGGTTGCTCAGCAGTATCTTGGTTTACAGGATCAGGGGTTTGCTGAGCATTAGATGTAGGACGTGGCTGATGTATAAGGCAGTGTACAACACAGTTATCATGAAGACCACAACTACTCAGTGAAGCTTCATCATCATGTAATACCTTTCCTTGAAATATCAAACGGATAATTTTATTGGATGTTAACTCATTAGTAAAATGTCTCCTAAAATAAAAATAACATAACATAATATAAATAATAATATACAATAAGATTGTAGGATAGCATTCATTTTTCAATTTTTATAATACCTTTTGAAAACTCCAATAGTTTCTTGTAGCCTGCCTTGAACTAAACGACAATTGTCATTTAAATACTTCAGTCGTATTCTTATAGAGTCTTCATATATCTGTGGTTCATTTTCAATATCATTGGTATCATTGCTTTGACTAGATTCATCGAACTGTTCAGTCACATCACTTTTTGTAGCAACAGGATTATCATTTTTATTATCAGGATTATCATTGCTTAAAGTTGAATTTGTTTGAATCACATCATTTAATGGAACGGTTTCCGTTGCTGATTGTTCGCCTGAAATTGATTACATGTATAATAAACTATATTAAGCAGTGGTCAAGATTATTGGTTAACATAATAAAAAAAAAATCTTCTCTTAAATCAACAACATAAATTGTATAAGGTTACTCATCAATAACCAGAACAATAAATAATATTAGTTACATCCATAAAATCAGGAGCGTCATTCACATTTTCTCATGTATGCAAAACAAATATTGAAAATCTAAAGTAATAACAATTGGTTCATTTAGATAATTTCGATCATTCGACGATTCGATCAACTAGTTTATGTTGTATTGGTGATCCTCAAAATATTGTGACAAATCAAAAAAAATTACAAAATTATTGTTATTTGTTGTATACTATAATTTGATGAAATGACCTACACAAACTCTGTAAAAAAAATTCATGGGATGTATTTGCACACCCTTGCATCCCACAAATGACGCCACTGCATAAAATGTCTATTCTTAAAACCTAAATGTGAATAATTAAGATTATTATCAATACACAAATTGTTTCCATAAAATATAAAATTGGAATTGTTTGAGATACTGGTTAATTATGTTCCTATCATTAACCATTAATAATTTATTTTGTATCCTCTATCATCGATGTTTAAATACAATGCAAATTATATGCATATTATATGTACTTAGATGAAAATATTTTTAATAAATTTTAAAAATTAGAAATAATAATTTTAAATAAATACTTATTACATATTATTAATTATTTTGTTTTGTTTTTTAAAATTTAAGTATAATAATATATAGGTACCTATTAATTAATAAGTGGGGACGAGGTGGCCAAGCGGTCTAACGCGTCGGCTGCGGCGCTGCCAGTCGGGGTTTCGATTCTCGACCACCGGGCGACATTTATCTCCGGGCCAGTCACTGTGTCCGGAGAACAAGTGCCGCCATCCCCCCCTCCGGGGCATGACAGAAACCTACGGGTGCCCCATTCGAAATTCTTTCAAAAAATACACCCACGTGTAACACACCTACCGTTCCAAAAACCTACAGTACCACCCCCCTCCCAATGGTCTAAGTTGCCGCGGGATAATTAATAAAAAAAAATAATTTATAAGTTTATTAAATAACTAAATTACCTTATTTTAATTAAAATTTTCTAGTGATTTTTCAGGAATATTTTGTTTACACAACATTATTGTATTAGTCAAGAATAATAATAATAAATAATAAACTTACTAATAGATTGATTAGGAACTAAAGGTGCAGCCCTTGTAGCATCATGGTGTCGTCTTCTTGTACGCCTTTCCAAAATGAAAACAGCACCACGGAATATTTGCATTTCGGCCACTTGTGTAGACATCCATAGTAATACGATTAGCACAACAACGAATAGTATACCAAAAAACTGAATAACTTCATCACCAAAACCCTCTACTAACGCCATAGCTAAATAATTATAAATAAATAGAAATTAACACTGCATTTATCATCATTGGTATGTAAATAACTCACTGTTTTATTTTACTTGAAAAGTCAAAAATTACAGTTCTTCAATTTTTCCTACTCATTTACATGATTATTGTACTAACACCGAATACAACAGTTGTAATACCTAGGTAGTGCTTCATTATTATAGTATCAAACATCAGCATTCACAATCTTTATTTTATTATTATTGAATTTGTACAATTTCAAGGTTGTTGAAATATTATAGTGTTGTTAATGATTACGGTAAACCGAATTAACTTTTAAGTAAACTACAAAATACATTAAACTAGTTTGAGCCCTTGAAATCGAAGGCCAAATCTATAATTTTTAATTCAATCTCATACAACCCGACAACCATAGATAATGACAAATTAAATAAATACTAAATAGGTGTATCAGCAATATACCAGTTTTGAAAAAAATCGCGCATCCACCCTCCGCCCAGCCATTATGACGTAATCAATTCTCCGTTTTTCATTGATCCACCACCGCCGCCGAAGACTCCACAATCACTCGACCGCTCAACCAGCAGCTAGGTAGGCTGTTGTTGGAGGAGTGCTTACGTCACAGACATGCGTATCACAAATTGCTGCCATACCAGCTACATGGATTATTGTTCATTGTTAATTGTTGTTAATACTGGATAGTGGATAAGAACGAAGTTACGACACAGAACAAACAGAAGGGAATCTTAAGGCTCATCGAAAAACCGTCCGACATTTCTAAATTTTAAACGTGCTGCCACGTACCGAGAAATTCCCTTTTTTTTAAGTTTTCTGTGGTTTGTGGCTACACTGTTAATCTGCAATTCCACTCATAAATGATAGTGATAAATAAAATATGTATAGTTTTTGTTTTTCTTAGATTCTGTACTTAGATAAATGATAGAAATGCAATTTCTTAAAAAAAATCGGTTTGATTGTTTGAATATAATAATATATTAGAAATTTGAACGAATAAACAGTGCTGCACAATATAAAGAAAAAAGAGAAATTCCCGGTACGTGGCAGCACGTTTAAATTTTAGAAATGTCGGACGTGGTTTTATCATCTCCCATAAGAGCCTATGTTAAATGAAATAAGATTCCCTTCTGTTTGTTCTGTGGTTACGACGAAGGTACAGCTGATATGATAAGTGAAGCAAGCACCTTATCAGTTATCATGCTGTGGCAAGACTACTAGCGCTAATCCTATGTATGTTTTTAAATTAGTTCATTTTTCCCATAGATATTATCTATGATTTTTCCTTATTCCTCCGGTACCATATAACCGTAGAACAGTTCAACGAATCTAGGATAAAAAAGCCACCAACAAAAAATCCACGGACCAGTGGCGTACCCAGGATTTTAGAACTGTGGGTCTGCCTTACTTACGAGAGGCCACTGTGTAGAAACGTCAACCAACTACCTATATAGTTAGGTATTACAAAGTCACTCTGGGCTCGCGATTTACCTTATTAGTTATTTACATCACATTTTGATACCAACGTTCAATATAACTATATCACATATTTTTAAGTAAATTGTAAAATTTACTTACAAGCTTTAATATATTTAATTTATTTTTATTTTTATTTGTTGCATTAAAATGTATATTCAATTAAAAAAATTACCTGACATATTTAAATCATTAGAAGAAATTTTACAAATTTATTATTTTATTTGTATAAGTATATTTGCAGTATATTTATTTTATTTTAGTTTTCAATGACTGATTTCATTTTTACAAGAGATATAGAATAGGTGGTTCTAAATTCTAATACATTAGAAAAGTCAAAAATAATACATTAATAAAATTTATATTTAATAATACCTACGTGAAAATAATAGTAAAGAACTAGAACATTACAATCATTTTCTGCGCTTTTTCATTAGTGCGAATTATGTACTTATTACGTTAACAAAATCAATGGTTTGAGCTATGTTGCTTTCTATGCTCAATATGGCCAAATTTGATAGCCGGTCTTCAGTCATAGTTGAGCTAAGGCATGTTTTGAGAAGTTTTAGAACGCTAAAACTTCTTTCTGCAGTTGCACTGCTGACTGGTAGTGTATAAAAAATTTTATACAAAGTATATAAATTTGGATATGAAGAAACCATGTCTCGTGATATCATAAATTTTCAATACATCATTTAATTTTAAAGGTCCAGTTACTCCAGTTTCAATAGTTTTGCCATTTGTTGGTAAACTAGATGTAATGAACGGTATTCCACTTCTATATCAATTTCATCTATGTCAACTTCATAAAATCTTATATAATATCTATATCCAAGTATCCAACATATTTTTATACTTGTGTTTATCGAATTTTAGGTACGTAGTACGTACATTAGATATAAGTTGATAAGCTTAAACACGATTTCGTACGCGTTATTTTACTTCAATACTCAGTCTTCACAGCTGTATATACGATATACCCCTATATCATAATAGCAGATCTTCGATATTTTGAAGGGGGGGGCACATATAAATTGTATAATTTTAATTTTAATTTATAATACATACATACTATCAATAATGATTATAATAAGTAATAATTAATAGTTGGTAGTATTATCCTTATCAACTGAATGTTTCATTTATATGATACTCGTAGTTACATAACAACTTGTCGACAGAAAATTGACAAGGGGCACGTGCCTCTCCTCTAAATTCACCACTGTACATAGTTTTTTCAAATAAAAAAATGTTTATATAGTTTGCCATCTCGAGGGGCCACATTTAACTGGGAAAACAACTGTGGGTCAGCTGACCTCCAAAACCCCCCCCCTGGGTCCGCCCCTGCCACGGACAAAAAAGACCCGGATTTATTTATCCTATAGTTATATAAATATTGTTATCGCTGTAACTTTAAAAATTATTTTAATAAATTCAAAACAGATAAAACAAAAATAATAGCTAATAATTAAAAAATTATAAAAAAAAATATCTCATTGAATCTTAGTTAATAATATTATTGAAAAATTATACATATCTATACCATTAATATATGTCAGAATGGTAAAAAAATTACAGGGGCAGATTTACCCATAGGCCACCAAGGCACGTGCCTAAGGCGCAATTTTTTAGTTAATTTTTACTTTTTAGTTTTTCATAATTTCATAATTATATTTACCTAAATTTATATTTTATATTAATTTTTTTTTGTATACAACTAGCATGGAACTGGAGAAGGCTCACGTAGTCACGTCGAGGTAACGTTTTCATTTATAAGCTATAATAACCGTTTGAGTTTAATCCTCTCATACTCGACGAGGCAATTGCCAGCATTGCCTATGCATGGGAGGTAGATACGGGTGTGCGGCCTAAACACATACAATATTGTGAATGGCGCAAGCGCAAAATGCCAGCCAAGGCACTAAGGCAGTCAAATATACTGTCTCTGGCCGCCGGGTACATTGTATATAGCCGCTCTACTAGCTAGGTGGCGGACAGCTAGCACAGTGCTGAGTGCTTAGCAAGTAAATTATTTGATATTAACTGGAATGACCAGCCTCACCCCGCACCAAACTAGACTATTATTAGAATACTGGAATTAAATCTGGAAATCAGATGTCTTGAATTCTTGATAAAGTAATTAATAATAATAAACATTGCGACGAAGGGCGACGCTGGCACTGTCGCCCGTCTCCTGCATAGTGCGTAGTGCATACTACTCAGAAATCTGCTAATCGATTACGATTATAGGGACTAGATACTAGAGTGCTCACCACTTTAATCAGTACCTACCTATAGTTTTGTTTTATTTCACGGAACATTACCGGACCCCCCCACCGTTGGAGTGTACCAATGTACGAGGCGCTAGTGTTGTTGGAAAATGGTAAGCCCGTCCCTGGTTGTGTATCCTAGTTGTAATAATCCTAGTTGTATTATCGCTGTAACTTTGTATTTTGTGCTATAGCTTTTAAAAAATCTTTAAGTTCAATTTTATTTTCTCCGAAACGGGTGCACAAAGCATTTAATCTTATTTCCATTTTCTTTTTAACCGGTTTATAATAGTAAACTAATTCCTAATTTTATTTACAGGTTTTCACGCCAAACTAAAGTATATTAAATATAATATGTGAATAGTAGATTTTATAACTTTACTAACGTATCTTTCACACAAAACTAATATATTATACAGAGTGGGTATATTATAAGTTTTATTTTAAATGTCCCAAATTGTATACCTATTTCATTAGTTTTATGAACTTTTTTTGCCCCTAGACTTTTTCCGTTCTCCTATTTTGATACCAAGTTTATCCATGAATCTTACAGAAGTGTTCACTGTAATCCAAATAATGGTATCAGACTTCGAAATATTCCACCACTCTATCCACTATCAATATGGAATGTCCACCAAACTACCCTCGATAATGGACATCGAACCCACAATCAAACAGAAGGGTAGAAGACTCAGGGGTGGATCCAGGGGGGGGGGTTGGGAGGTCAGCTAACCCACAGTTTTTTTCCCAGTTAAATGTGGCCCCTCGAAAAGGCAAACTACATAATCATTTTTTTATTTAAAAAATTATGAACTGATCAATAATGAAACAATAATAAATTATAAAATGTACTTACACAAGCTCAAGAATGTTTCTATACAAATATAATTATGAATATATAAGTATATTAATATGATGTATACATACGTGAAGACTGATTAGGTATTAAAGTAAAATGGCGCTTACGAAATAGTGCTTAAGTGGGCTGGACAGTGTCGGCCTAGCACACCAAAGACTCATGGATCAGTTTTTTAAAGGGCCCCATAAATAAAAATGATATACAAAGACCCCAAAAGACTTAATTCAAAATTTTCACTACCATTTTTTCCTTTAAAAAAACATTGATTCAAATTCTAATTTTTAGAATTTTTATGTATACCTAAAGACCATATTTTGAAATTGTTGATACTTTTTTTACTTAAGGAATGTCCTGTAGCTATAAGACTTTTATTTTTCAAGTGGTAGCTCCT